CCTGCTGCTCGCGTAGACGAGTCGCGTCCCCGTGCTGGCAGCGTGCCGCTTGCCTTCTGCCGGAGGACACCGTCTCTACCCAGCGCGGCAAGGGTTTCGTGACATATTTTGCATAGCACGGAATTACCTAGATTCTTTCTGGCTTTTGTGGCCTGAAGTAAATTGCAGGCATAGTCTCTCTAATAAACACTGTTCAATAAGAAGGGAACCTGAGCAGCCGATTCTCTTTGGAATTTGACCTACTTCTGCAGGCAGGTAAAGACCGGGGCCCAGCAGACCGGGACCCATCTTGGCAGGGGCGCTGGGCGCTGTTGATGTGTTTATTCGTGTTGGTGATGTTCCCCATCCCGTGTAAGCGGCGGGCTAGAAATAGTTACGTTACTAGCGTACCCCCAGCTGCAGCGGCCTCTTCCTTCTCTTTAAGAACCGACCCTCGAGTCCTGGCCTTGCTAAAGCTTCCGCCAACGCGCGCAGTAAGAGCGGCGATAAATGCCTCGTGGCTGAGGCCGCCTTGCCGCAGCTCCTCCGGCGCTTTGGGAAGCCGCAGCAAGACTCCAGCCCTGCTTGCACTGGAATGGGTTGGTTCTGAAGAAAGTGAGCTTAAACTTGCCGTTAGCGTCTGAAGACCTTTTCTGCTAGTTGGAAGCAGCCGCGCCTTTGCTCCTCGGTGGCTGCGTTGGCAGCGGTGCGCTGGAAGAGAAATTCCTGCCTGAGCTGTAATTGCAGGCCTTCTCTGTATGAAAAACACCATCCTCGCCCCTCGCTAAGAGGGCTTTGAAGGAGAGGCTTTCCAGGCTGAGCTAGGTGGATCAGTATTCGCTGCAGGACTGAGTCGTGCTGGTCTGAAGCCATCAGCTTGCCCTTGGCACGGAGGAACCTATTGCGGAGGAGCGGTGTCCAGGGCACGGGACGCACGGCTTTGTTTGGGGACACAGCGCGGGTTTGTTGGGAAAGTACTGGGTTGGAACAGACTGGCTCGGAGGGCAGAGCGGGCATGCCAAGCCCTGGCCCCCCGCGGAGCGCGGGCTGGGGGTAGGGACACGGCACGGCTTTTCTCAAGTCATCTTAAATTTTGGATTACCCGTGCGTTTGCTCTCGGACCTCAGTTTCCCTGCGGTGCTCGAGGCGTGAAAGGGGAGACTCGCCCCCGGTTACGCGGGGGTTGGAAGCTCTCGGGGGTGTTTTGTACGGAATCGCGAGTTTGCGTCCAAGTGCCGCAGCCCGTTAGCCGAACAACAGGATTTACCCGAGTCCGAAGCCGAATTCCTGCCCTCGTACTGATGGCGCTAGAACTGGTTACACAAGGGAAGAGGACTTTAGACTCCGAGACCTCGTAAATGAGTAAAAGCAAGTAAATGTTTACAAATAGTATTGTGTAAGCCCTTCTGACAGGGCTGTTTGGAGGGCTCAGGTAGTAAACTATGTCCTGAGATGCAACCCTGCTCGCGCTGCCTTCCTCCTGGCTTCAATAACCCACTTGGAATCAGGCCTGCGCGCCTTCGGTTCCAGGCCGAGCGGGCCCCATTATTTTCCCTGTACTGTGTTACGAGGCTGCAGCTTCTCTTGAGCCGGGGGGCGGCTTCTCTTCTGCCCCAGCTCACCCAGTGTGCTTGCCCTAGAGCGGGCGGTGGTAACGCTGCGGTGGCTCGGGATTATCTGTGCCTTCCGAGTGTGCTGACCCTGATCAAAAAGCCCTGGCTTGTCTGTCGAGCATCTGCTGGAGATGGCAGCCAGGGACCGTGAGAGTGTCAACCGAATCTGTGTTTAGGATGTGACTAAACCGCTTTTGAACAGCTCTGCTCCAGTTTTGCTCCGACCTAGCCATCACAGGGCTGGGAATGCTGCCCATGGGAAACCTGCCTCACCTCGGCGCTGAAGGAGCCGAGCTGGCGGCGGCGGCCCTGCCTGCGGTGCCAGCGTCACATGCCGTGCCGACACAAAGGCCGCCTGGCGCAGGAGCCCCGGCCCCCGTGGATGTGGGGCTGAAATATTTTGGAAGGTGAAGTGGCCAGAGAATGGAACATTGCAACATAATTTCTACGAATCCCGAGTCCCGCCGAGCCTGGGTCACCTTCAGCGCAGGGGCTGGTGCCGAGGGCTCGCTGCAGGGCCTGGCTGCCCGAGTGCCTCTGCGCCGGGGCTGTTTGTGGAGCTGGAGAAGCTGCCGGCCTGCACAACTGTTCCCACAGTTGGAGCGGCGTCCTGAGCAGTGTGTGGGTGGCACTGCTCCACCAACATCTGTTACCTCATGTTTTCTTTCTCGCCTTTCCGGGAAAGCTGACTGTTAACCGCACGTAACCCCACGGTTGTGCAAAAGAAGGGGGAGGCCGGCTGCATCTCAGACTGCCCCGGGAGGGGGGTTCCTGCAGGACCGCCGTCTCTCCGAGGGAGGAAGGGCATGGGGAACAGTGTGCTGGCCGTGCTCGCCTGCCCGTGCTCGGGTGGCAGACAGCCGGGGCCGGGGTCTCATTCGGATCTGGGTAACTTTCTGGACAGGTCTCTTTGGGGGAGCATCTTTCTGGCGTCTCGCAGCTGCGCTCCCGGCCAGGAGGTGTGGCGTCCCGGCACAGCCGGAGATGGCTTCCCGCTGGCCAAAGCCCCGTGAAAGGCAGTCGCTCTGGCCGGGGGAGCTACCTGTGGCTGTGTCATCTCAGGGCAGCTCCCCAGCGCGCGCGGGCGCGTGTTTGTGCTCCACAGGACCGCTCGCTGAGCGCGAGCTGTTTACGTGCATCGGACCCCATGATAGGCTTCTCCCTACCTCAGGACTTTATTCAAAACATCATGTACTTGATGACGAGAAGTTTTGTTTGATAGGAATGTAGCCTTTACCCTCGGTCATAAGAGCTTGCGGTGCAGATGGACTTTGCCAGGCAGAACACTCATGTACTCCCACAGCCAGATTGTAGGAGGGCAGGGAGAAGTCATCTGATAAAAGCGAACATCCTGGCCAACTCTTCCAGCAAGATTATGTTGCTGACAATTGCCAAGGGGCCCTGCTAGAACATCCCGTGTTGGAGGCCGGGGAGATGCTTCTCCCTCCGCTCTTGTGTAATGATGGGGGCAATGCAGGGAGGAGGGTGAGCTCGGGCGCGAGGGAAAGGTGGCAGAAACCTGAGAGCTGCAGGTTCCTTGCGCTAATCTGTCGTTTTTCTGTCTTGTCTGACTTTCAAGAGTCCATCGTAGGGAACTGTATGGACAGGAGTTCCCCCGGCCAAGCGATGCAGGTGCCTGACCACAACGGACTGGGCTACCCCGTGCGACCCGCCTCCAGTGAGCACCCGCGGCCCAGGACCCTGCAGAGACATCACACCATTCAGAACAGTGATGATGCCTACGTAGGTTTGAAGCAGCCTGCTCCCGGCAGGGCTTAAGGCAGCGCAGAGCTTCCTTGACGCGTGCGGGTTACGTACGAGGTGCCGTACAGGCGAGGCAGCGCCCCGCTCTGCGGGGCTGCTGGG